TTTTTCCGCCGGGATTACAAAATGTATTATATTTTAAGACGTCCACCAAAATATTTCGGAAAAATATTAAGATTTAAGCGAGCTGGACCGATTTGAAAATACCTCCAAAAATGGAGTTTTTTATGAATAAAAATAGTTTCTTAAAGAACTTTTTGAAAAAAGTCCCCTCAGATGACAAAACAAATTGGGCTTAAAAATTCTGCATAAAAATACTTACAAATCTTTTCAACGGAATCGTAATAATGAGATTTTTGATGCTGTTTTTTNTATGTTGACTTCTATTTGTTTTGAAATCGGTTTTTTGTTTCACACATGAGTTAGAAAACAAGTATAAACGCATCACTCATTTGATGTGAAGTGACAATGGGCTGGTTTTCTTTATACAGACCGTTTTAAATTCGAATTATTGTTATAATAAATTACAATTATTGTTTGTTTCCATTTCGNGGATTTAGACTGATGGGATCTCGGTAGAAAGGTATTTTCCCACTATTTTTATTCATGTGCAAAAAAAGTCATTCGGGTCCCAATATTTTTTTTCAAGCACCAACACATCTTAATTCAACTTTGAATGATATTCGTNCTATTTGTTAAAAAAATGTCGTTTAAAAATAGCGGATTTTGTTTACTTTTGAATAAGAATTTATCGAGTGCGCTATAAAGACAGGGGTATAAATGCTGTAAAGAAATATATGTTGAGTCCAATCGGTTTTTTGCTAATNTTAGCAAAGAAATAAAAAGGGTAAGAAAGTACCTTTCCAATGATATCTCACAAGTCTAAATCGGTAGAGGTTAGGCTCAGTTATTCAAGTTTTTCTTATACCAATCTTTGAGAAAAGTTATAAACAGCATCAAAAATCTTATTATTACGATTCCGTTCAAAATTTTTTTTTNATTATTGGCCCAGATGTAAATATTAGGTGAACTAACATATTTTAAATATTTACGGAATTACCATTTGTATTCAACCCTGCCTATCCTATATTCAAGTAGATGTAATTCGAAAAATTTAAACGGATTTCTTCAAATCAACCNTCTTATTATTACGATTCCGTTCAAAATTTTTTTTTAATTTTTCAAAAATAGTTTTAAGCTTAAACCGTTTTGTCATTTGAGGGGATTTTTTTCAAAAAGAATGTTCAAGAAACTATTTTTATTCATAAAAAACTCCATCTTTGGAGGTATTTTCAAATCAGTCCAGCTCACTTAAATCTTAATNAAATAAATATTAATCGTTTTATTTAAAATATTCCAATGTATTTATTCGTTAATTTTGAGCTCCAGGCCGGTTAATAAATAAAACATAGAGAAATATCGACAACAATAAATGTAATAAATAAAACTACCAAAATCTATGTTTTATTTATTAACCGGCCTGGAGCTCAAAATTAACGAATAAATTANCGAAATATTTTGGTGGACGTCTTAAAATATAATAGATTTAACAATTCCAATGGAAAAACAGTACCGATTTTATTTTGTACGGATGCAGTCTAATGTACATATCTGAAAATTTTAAATAAAATATATATTTTCACGAGAGACAAAGTAAATAAAATGGGTTAGGTGAAATATACTTATCAGATTGGGTCAGATAGCGCTTTNAACAAAAAGGAAAAGAGGTAAAAAAATCACTAAAAGTACATATTAAACAACAATTAACTATGCGGGATTATAATGCATTTTTTGATAGTGAAGAAATAATAACTAATACACTCACTTCAACTATTAAGAAAACACAAGCTAGCAAGTATGAAAAATTAAGAGAGAAANTTTCTTAAATTTTATATAATTTTGGTGACGTACTTCTAAGCTGACGCTGAGACCTATGAAATTATACATATTTATGTGCATATATTGTGTTGATTATGCTCAAATCGCTAAATAATTCTTGCAGCAATCAGCACCATTGGAAATTTTCGGAAAGAAGAAATAAACTAAATTAAATTTATTCAATTATTAATAAAAGAAATTGGAGACAAACGTACAATTGGGGCGATGNCAGATTATAGCAGATAGGGAGAACTGCATACAGACAATTAAAGATAAAGAAAACCAGGAAATTTAAAGAAACAACTTGACGACTTTAATACGCGATTACATAAGTAAGACGACATATACAATTAGAGATAAGTTTATTCATAATACCCTTCATTCTGCTAAGACGTTTCTGAAAAACCATGACCAAATTTTAATCCTCAATGCTGACAAAGGGAACGTAACTGTAGCGATGAACAAAGCAGAATATGACATGAAGATGCAGAAAATTGTAAATGACATCTCAACATATAGGGTTTTAAAACGTGACCCTACATATAAGCTACAAGGGAAAAATAATGAAATAGTGGAGAAGATGTATGCTAATAAAATCATTGATTTAAAGGAAAAGAACTACCTGACCTGCAAAACGGCTAATCCCCCTCGAATTTACGAATTGCCGGAAATCCATAAAGAAGGAGTTCCCCTGAGACCTACATGTTCGTCCGTCAATTAACCGTCTTACAAATTATGCAAATATATTGTCCGCGTACTCAAAAATATAACAATGTCCTCCAAGTATAACGTTAAAGATGCGATCGAGTTCAAAAACAAGATTGGAAATACCCATATTTATGACGATGAAAGTTTGGTGTCTTTTGATGTCGTATCGTTATTCCCGAGCATCCCCGTAGACTTAGCAATAGAGATTATAGATTCGAAATGGAGTTTGATAAAAGAGCATACGTCATTAACTAGAGAGCTTTTCTTAACCATATTAAAGTACTGCACTAAAGAGAACCGCTACTTCAAATACAATGATAAGATTTATGAGCAGAAGTCAGGAATGCCTATGGGTTCACCTGCTTCACCTGTCATAGCGGATATAGTTATGGAAGAACTTTTAAATAAATTCGAAAAAGATTCGGACAGCAAACCACGGCTACTTACCAAATATGATGATGATTTATTTGCGATTGTAAAAACGGAAAACATAGACAAGATGCTCAACACTTTAAACAATATTAACAAAACTTTAAAATTCACCATAGAAATAGAAAATGAAGGACAACTACCGTACTTGAACACCCTAATAATCAGAAAAGAAAATGCATTAACAGTTGACTGGTATAAGAAACCTACAGCATCAGGGAGGCTCATAAATTTTAATTCCAACCACGAGAGGAGGACAATTATAAATACGGCTACCAACTTCATCCGCAGAGTACTCACCATAAGTGATAAGATNAATGCATTAACAGTTGACTGGTATAAGAAACCTACAGCATCAGGGAGGCTCATAAATTTTAATTCCAACCACGAGAGGAGGACAATTATAAATACGTGATAAGTGATAAGATGTACCACAAGTAAAATATTGACATTATCAAAGAAATCCTGGAGAAAAACGAATTTCCTCATGGCTTGATTAACAAACTCATCCGCGATTACTATATCAAGTCCAATAAAGATAAATCAAATGAGAAGAAAATTTATACATCGGCAACATATCGAGCCCTAACCGCCAAAATAACGTAAGCGACATTTTGTTCAAAATTTTCTTTTTGATGCAGAAATATTCCTAGAGCATCTAGATACATTTCTGCATCAAAAAGAAAACTTTGAAAAAAATGTCGCTTACGTTATTTTGGCGGTTAGGGCTCGATATGTTCCAGGATTATCAGAGAGGATTAAGCACTCTTAAATGTTTGACAAAGAGAAATTTAACATAGCGTTCACCTATGATAATACTTTAAAGCAAATATACACTAACACCTAAAAATGTGAAATCTGACGTAATCTACGTATGCGATATGGTATATGTGGGGACAACCAAATCTAAATTGAAGACAAGGATTTCCGCTCATAAATCTAACATAAAATTAAGGAATAACCCTATGGACAATAAGACAGCCTTAACATCTCACTGCCAAAATATGGGACATTATCCCGATTTTGACAATGTAGCAATCTTACAGGAAGAGAAAAATTACAATAAACGTTATACTCCAGAGATGCTACACATCATGAGCACCCCTAATAATAGAAGGATGAATTTTAAAACGGACACAGACAATTGCGCTCATGTCTATCGCAATTTAATTCTCACGCACAAAAACCAATAACGTAGGTATCATGTATTTATGTGTCCATGTTATTGTTCGTAGGTCCACCACCAGTACTTCGTCCGACAATAACAATGCTATGCCGTGCTTTTCTACATACAGACTCTCTCCGTCCTACTGTCCACCACTTCATGTATTGTTGTTTGTATATTTTTTGTTTACATTTACGGTATTTCAACTTGTTTAAATTCTCTTGTTTATGTTTAAGTGTTCTTTGAGCTTGTTTGTTAATATTTTTCTGCACATAGAATTAGTCGATTGGAAAAACTCAATAATGTAAGTTGCGTTTTTGATGTAAGTTTTTTGTAATTTGACGTAAATATGTATGCATTTGGTGTTTTTCAGTCCTGAAGATGCCTTCAGATTGAAGGCGAAATATCGACAGCAATAAATGTAATAAATAAAACTACCAAAATCTATGTTTTATTTAATAACCGGCCTGGAGCTCAAAATTAACGAATAAATTATAATAAAACGGCCAAAGTCAAAAAACTAATCATATTCCAATGTATATTTTTTGTTTATGCAGATAGTGCGGATTTAACATATTTTATAACCGTTACATGGGGAACATAAATTTATGGCAGATTGCTATTAACAATTTTTACACAATTTACGATTGCAACCAATTTCTTTCAAAACTATAATCTAAATGATTGCAAGTTGCATTTTTTACGATATTAGGTATATTATGCAAATGCAATCCAATTTGATTTGAGTTATTCAGTTTTAGATACATTTATATTTTTGTGTTCGTATGGAATAGTAGTTTATGTCGCGAAGCTGGCTTCAGTTAATCCGGCATTCCCTTTATTATTTACAACACAAGGAATTTTTCGATGACCCTTAACAAGAATATGGACTTGCTAGTATCGGAACTATTTCTTGCACGTTTATTTGCCAAAATTTCTTCAACGGCTCGGCGCCAGTGAGGGTATGCAGCGAATGCCGCAATACTAAAAGCAGCCTTTTGACATAAGCTACTATTCCATACGAGTGGGGCACGTGCGAAGTGTAGATTTTCCCAGTTGCAGTACTGCAGTAACTCCACACCTTCCTCACCAACAGCTCTGTCCTCTATTAGCTTCTTAATGTAACTGCAAATAAAAGATGGAAATTTAAGAAAAATTACTACCTGAGCGTTTCAGTTGTAGCGTTTCACTCTTGTAGTATATTGGCTATCAAACACCAGAAAATTTCCATCACGCATTCCATATGCCACCGATTGTCGTTGATCAATTAAAATACTGTCATCACAGCTTTTTGGTACTGCAGCAACTGGTGTGTCTATGGCTGAGTTATGTGGAGCTGTTGCATGATTAAAATCAATTTGGACTCTTTGAGAACTGGCTTGTTTGTTGCGAAAGCTATTGGCATCAAATGTATGCAAATTAGATTTCCCAACGAGCAACTGTTGAATATAGGGAAAAAATGTATATTATATAATTTTTTCACGCACAAAGCAGAAATTACCAGTCGATACTCGCCCGCGGAAGCAAAATGTCCACCATGTGGAGAAAGCGACGGCGCAAACTTTGTCAGTATGGCCAGTTAGTGTATAATTTTCCCGTCCATTTTGACCTGGTTCCGCTAAAGTGCACTACTACCGTGTATAAATTGGTCGACCTTCTAACAAATCAAGCAATGTTATTGTATCGTCATCGCCGCCAGTCACCAAGAAATTTCCACCTGGGTGAAATGCAACATCATTCTCCGGCGACGAATGCACTTGATGAAATCAAGAGGAAATTTTATAAATAGCATTTTTAAAAAACAATCATCTAATATTTTCCAAGTTTTTGTGCATATATGTTACCATTTGAACAACAAATAGTACTAAGTTTTATGAGACTATTTAATGCAACTCAGGTCAAAAACGCACAGCTTTGACCAAAATAAGCAACTCTAAAAAACAGATGATCGCAGCTGTGGCCCAGGATGACGTCTATTGCTAAGATATCTCACTTGTATTTGTACACAATGGCTAAGGGAGCGAGAAAACTGTTTTTTGAGCAAACCTTTTATTATTGAATCATGTAATCTGCGTACATAAAAAGTTAAGACAATTTTATGTCTGTTGAATATCGCAAAAGCAAGAACAGAACTGGATCTAGGTGGCTACCTTGCGGAACTTCTGAAGTAACGCAATGACATCAGAAATAGTAATTTTAAACAGGGTTCGGAAATATACATATATGAACGTTCGCATACATAATAATAATAATATGACGCTTACACATATGTTAGTGTTTGGCCGAGCTTCTCCTCCGATTTGTGGCGTGCGCCTTGATGTTGTCACACAAAGCGGAGGGACCTACAGTTTTCCGCCTACTCCGAACGGCGATTGTATTTTTATGAGAAGCTGTTTTTCATGGCAGAAATACACCCGGTGGTTTGCCATTGCCTGCCGAGGGACGACCGCTGTTAAGAAAAAACCTTTTTTCTATATTCTTTCGATGTTGCTTTGACCAGGGCTTGAACCTGCGGAGTGGAAGCGCGCACTGCTTACCACTACACCACAGCGGCCGACATACATATATTTATCATTTTATACGCGAACGAGAACGTATCAAATATTCTCTATTGATTCTACTTCGCTAACGAGAAGCGTAAAACAAGTCCAGATCGTTCGCGTTTGCGAATGTTAGGTAGAAAAACTTTCCGCTGTTGTTCGTACGCTTACATGGAGTAACGAACTGAAGGTGGCGCATTCCCGAAACCGCTACTTTGGTTTTGCCGACTTTGACATTTATGGCAATACGTAAACAAACTTTTTGTTTAGAAACAAGTGCAAACGTATTGTGTACTTTCAAGTGAAAAATCGAAGTAATTCGTGCGCTCTAAAGTAAAAAACGTTTTATTTATAATACAAACTTTATGAAAATGTCGTGTCGTGTGTTGAATTGCAGCAGCCGTAGGGGTAAAGCCCCCAAGTGCAGTTTTGTTGTTTTGTTTCCCCGCGACGACGCCTTGGCCGGGTAGAGTTCTGCCTGCAGGAGAAGCCATACAATTTAGACACCAGCAGGAAAACATGCGCTGCGACAAGATACTATCACTTTTTCGGCACCTGCAGTACAAACACAAAAATTCTAAATAGTTAATTAATAAAACCTATTCTTTTGAACACATTTCAAGAGTGGTTGAATATTTTTTGTTAACGTTGTGCTTAATTTGCTATATTCAAAGATGGCTTCAGAAATTGGTGAATCGTGAAGAAAACACGTTTTCTCACTGCAAATTCACAACTGTCAACTCATTGTTCTTCGCCATATTCTTTGTTTACACATTGCCACAAATGTCATTCTGCGGGAATGCGTAATCTTGTATTCTATCGTTCTTGGTACGCTTATGTATTGGTAGACACCAAACAGCGTGCGTTCATATATGTAGCTATAAGTGGCATCGATGGCTTCGCGAACGTTCACTGCTGTCGTTCTCGTTCATAAGTGAATGTAAATGCTGCGTCAAACATTCACGGAGGGTTAGTGTGGCTAGAGATACTATTTTATGCGAAGGCAATTTCGTTAATTGCGTAAGATTTGCACCGTTCATTCGATTTTCAAAAATGAGGTGTAAAATGAAAGGGCTTGACCTGTAGATGTGCAGCAGGGTGTCCAGATTGTTTAAAAATAAATCGCAATTTCTGCAAAAAAAAATCGCCAAAAATCGCCAATTTTTTTTTTTATAAAACTCATGAAATCGATTTAACAAATCTTTTATTTTAAAATTGAGATCTTGAATACGAATATAATACCTTCAGAAGGTAATAATAAATAACACAAATCGCTTATATAATAGTGATGTACAAACAATTTTCTTTACAAGCACGCATACTTTTTAAAAATATTTGTTTCAACACATTTTGCAATAGGACTGCGCAATTATTAAATTTATTTTTCATATTAATTGATTAATCGCACGATTCGGTTTTAAGAGCTCGGCGCTAAAAATAAAATAAAAACCTATAATAAGGCGAGATCAACTATTTCCACAATTTCTTCAAAATCACCTATAGTGTCTGAATTATTTACATTTCTGTTGATGTCATATATTGATCTATTCAACCTTGATAACATACTGTTTGATATTGGAAACGTTTTGCAGCAGAAACTATTAGCCTTCATATAAAACTTTATTCGAACTATTGAATTAAGCATATATGTAATACTCCTATATTGGCAGTAAGAGCCCTGCAGGGAAAGCTACTAGTTGTGAACTGGAATTCTACCAGTTTGCGTTTCAGCTCAACTAGTTCACGTTCTATCCTTTTTTAGTGTTAGCGACTGGTATTTTTAACATTGCGATGTCCTACGAGATGTCAATTATCAGGCTATGCATCAGCATCTACTAGTATAAATACTAGTAGCATCATACCAGTTGATGAGATANGCACTACTTTGGGAGTCAAAAAATTAAATGAATTCATGAATATACAACAAAAAACTTTTGATTAAGTGCACTTTAATATATTACACATATTTTATTTGGCAGCATATTTTATTTAAAAGCAAAAATAAATACATAAATATTACAAACTTTCGAACATAAATTTAAATGCATTTTTCATTAAATGCTATTAAAAGTAAAAGGTTTCAGGTACAATAAATACTATATTTTTATCTTTTTTAATAATATTGAATACGCAAGAGAAAAAATTTTAGTTAAAAATAAAATGAATACTTTAGTTCATTTTTGAGTGAACTAAAATAGAAATAAAAGTGTTCGTTAAAATAAACTAAATACATTAACTTTGCACATTTTAGTATATTCGTTTTAGAAATTTATAAATATTTATAATAATTAATGTTTAAAATTTGAGATTTGGATACGAATAAAATAAATAAATAATTCTTAATTTTTATCCATTGTTCGGCTTGTTGATTGATAATAGAATTTAACAAATAATTAATATTAATCGTGTAATTAAAAAAAGTCTAAAATAATTGAAAATGATCAAAAATAACAAAATAATGATGTAATTAAAATTAATGATTTAATTAACATTTTTTTATGTAATTAATTATTAATCATTAAAAAGGTGGTAATATCGGTATGTAATCATTAAACGGTTATCCAAAAACATGCTTTAATCAATAATCATTATGAATATTAATCATTATTTAACAGGTCTGGTATAACTGAATTCGTACTCGATTTAATGGTTTTCAAAATATAACCAAATAAAAGTTATAATATTTTGTGCACTTTATGTAGGGTTGTGCGATTAATTGATTACTCAAAATTTTAATTAATAATAAAGTAAATAACTCAATTACTCGATTAATTGGAAATTATGATTACTCAAAAGTTCAGTTACTCCAGTAATCAAGATTTTTGATTAACCAAAAACAAAAATATTTGAGTAAGTTGCTTTATGATTAATCAATATTTCGAGTAAAATGAGTAATCAACATTTCAACTCTTTACATATGTATAAAGTAGTTAAAGTTCCTTGATACTTTGAAAACAACGTTTCTGTTTTCAAAAATTAAAACAAAAAATTTCTTTCATATACAGAATGTAAAAAAGAAAATAAGCATTTTCCAAAGCAAACTCTTTTAACGAGCAAAATTATTATTTTTGAGTAATCATGCTTCAAGTAACTCAATTAATCATCGTTTTGAGTAATCAAAATTTTGATTACTCTAGTAATTGATTAACCGAATAATTGATTAACCAACTTGCTCGAGTAATCGAATAATCGCACAGCCCTACTTTATTGTATTATACTGTCGAAGTAAAATAAAACAGGGCATGACTAAATCGTTTTGTACTTGGTACAAGTCTGATCATTTTCGAACTAGTTCGGTTTCTGTCAGGAAATTCTAGTTGTAAACTAGAATTTTTCCGGACTAGTTTGGGGTTTCACTGCAGGGTAGGTATGTAGTAAATAAGGTACGTAGAATGTAGAGCATTCGCTCGGAGTAGATCGGAGCTCAGAAATAACTTGGGTGTCACGTTATTTTGTAACTGTCAACGTAAATCGTCATCGGAGGTGTTCATTTTGTGACTTACTAGTAGATTACACTGGTCTTGATGTCAATATTGGTGCTAAAAGCTGAAAGAAAACTTGGGTTACCTCGTAAGGTGCTTGCCAATTTTAAAACTGGGATAATACTCGAAGCGAAACCTGAGGTGTTGATAATTTTCTCAAATAAATATTACCTTGTTTATGCCGACCCCTAAAGCGCTTTGATCCACTTCGCGGTGATTCAAAACTGATACATAAACCCAATTTCAATACGCTCTGAATTTCAAAAGTGTATTGACTCGAATTTGATTTCAAATCGGTTTTTATTTCTCACATCGGTTAGAAAACAGGTACAAACACATCACTCATTTGACGCAAAGGGAAAATAGGCTGGTTTTCTTTATACAGCCCGCTTTATATTTGAACTATTGTTAAATAAAGTTGATTTGTTGTTCGCTTCCATTTCGGTCAATAGCTCAAATCAATTATTAAGGAAATATCGAAATAAAACAACAAATTTCGTATACTTTTGAATACGGTTTCAGCCAGTGCGCTGTAAAGGCACAGGTATGTATAAACGCTTGAAAGAAATACTTATGTGTCGAGTAGCGTTGCCAGGTTGATGTTTTTAACGTCATTTGGACTTTTTTTGTATCCTGTTGACGTTCCGACGTTTTTTTGTGTAAAAAATTGCGTTTTTTAACTTCTCAGTAATTTTTCTCTGTTACTAAATCTTGTAAGTAGAACTGATTTGGAATTATTTTCTTAAAAAATCTTTACAAGCATTGTTTTTTGCAGCAGCTTCTTCAAAAGATATTTATTCTTTGGACACAGATGACTTAAATATGATGCAAACCAAGCGTACGCGCATTTTTTTTGCATTCTTGGCTGGTATTGTGAACACTTGAGGTTAAGAGGCTTAT